GTCAAGCTTGAGTAGGCTTTCATAAAAACTCTCAGTAATGGTTTCTAACAGTGAGGCTCAGCGTAAGGGCCAGAAGTTCATGTCTGCTGAGGGCCCAGGGAAGCACCCTTGAGGCTATGCTCTGGGCGCTGGGACCCATTGAGGCTGTCTGCCAGGACCGGACACCCACAGCTTGGCAGCAGCATCCATCTTCCCCACAGACCATGCCCTCTGCTTCGGCTCCATGCAAAATAAACCCAGCGAGTGCAGTAGTGGCTCCTGCTTGTCCTCCACAATGGGCACCAGAGCACAGCAATGGAGAATGTTCACACCCAGAGGCATCCGGTGTCCCTGGCATTGAGCACATGCAGTGAGTGCCACCCCCACCCCCTGACAGCCGCCCATGGCCCACAAGTCCTCCTTGCCAGCATCCTCACCCCAGCGGGATGTGGGGACCCGCAGCCAGCAGGCTGGGAGCGGCCCCCAGCAGCATGAATCAAAGCAGCACCCGATGCTTGGTGGTACTCTTCGTGTGGAAGTATGTTATTAATATTAATAGAGTCACAATTGGATGAAATGTGTTTTGTGTAAGGAGGATTAACTGTACTCAGATTCAATTGGCCCATTGCAACACAGCGGGGTTTCAAATCCTTGGCTTTGCAGGCAAAGGATGGTTCCCAGGGCTGTGCTTTGCAGGAGGGGCTCCTGTGTGTGGGCAGCCGCAGCTCCCAGTGGCAGCAGGCACCTGCTGGGGGCTGAGAGGGCAGGGTGAGCCTCACCACCCATCAGGAGGAGATGACTGATTTTCTGTCAGCAAAATGAGATCCTCTTCCTCCTCCTTGTCTGGGGTCCAGCAAGATCAACAAAAAACTCCAACAGACCGCGATGATGGGCTTTGCACGGCGTCACTTTGTGGTTTGCTCCAGCAGAATGACACACTTAGGTTGGGACAGGGAGGCTGTGGGACTTCCGAGGAACAGGGCCATTTTTCAGAAAAAAGGATGTTTACCTGCGCTTTCTCTGCTGCTAAGGCAACTAAAAGACAGTGCTGTTCTTTGTTTTTAATTGAAGTTTTTAGCATTCATCTCAGTCGCTGTACTGACTTTTTAATACATGAATAACTGTTATAAAGCGCCGATATTTTGTACTGCCTGCTCTGCATTTACTCACTGCAACTTGCAGAGCTCTCTCCAGCGATCTGGGCTGCGGGTTTCCAGCAGTGCCGTGCCACATAATAAAACATACCAAAGTAGGGCAGAAACCCCCTGCAAGAACCCGCTGCATCCTGAAATGAGTGTGTGCACAGCTCAGAGCAGGCTTTATCATTAATGCTTACAGTACTCACGTATAACAAGGAACCTACAGCAGTTCAGAGACATCCTGTGAACATTAATTCTCCGAATGCCCCCTAATGCAGCCAAGTATCACTTTCTTTCTTTCAAAGTGCGGAGATTCATTCGTGAGGATCAGCCCCCACTGCGGCGATGCGCTCCAGCTCAGAGCCCAGCAGCCCCTGGCTGCACAAGGTGCAATACGCAGGGCTGCCCTGCATGGCTGGTGGTCTATGGGGGCAGGAGGGGTTTGGTTGGGCAGTGCTGCCCACTGGGACGTGCAGGGCAGGCGGCACCGCACAGAGAGCAGCCAATGCTGGTGGGGAGCTGAGCAGCAGAGCATGCAGAGCGCAGCACACGGTGCATTTACAGGGACCTTTCCCTTTAAATATTTTGCATACTAAATTTTAACTAGCTTCCCTCCCTGCACACACACCAACAAATAAATAAACTCTGTGAACCGAGTCAGCCATCGCTCCAATCAGTCCCAGCTGTTATTTCCCCTGCTCGTCCTGTAAGGCCCAGTCGGCAGCACTCAGCAATGGGTTACACATGGCCTCGTGCGAGGAGACATGAAATAATTGCTTCAATCTGAATGAAGAGGCGCTAATTTTGTTCATGCATTATTCAGAATGACAGGGACATTTCTGTAATAATTCCTGACTTATTCAATATTCTGGAGAATGATGGAGAAAAAACTACATTTGCAGCCACTGGAGACAGAATGAACTCCTTTGTGCTGAACCTCTTCCTATTTTTCTTGTTTGTTTTTAACATTTCCGCATCAGAATTTATAGATGCCACTTTTACAGCTCAGATTCAGTCTGACTGCAGGTGTAAGAAGGACGCTCTGTAAGGCAATGTGACCTATGCTGATAGCTGGTGTCACTGGAGGATAAATGACTTTTTCATATTTCTTCTTCCACTGTTTATCTCAGAAAGAAGGAAAAGGTTTCTTTGGCGCCTCAGCAAGTAACACATTTGGCAAAGGACTCTAAGGAACTCAGTTTGGAGAGGACACCTAAGATGTCAGTGATCAGATGCACCATGGGCTGTGTGCCCATGGACATCGCTGCTTAGCACTGCCCAACATTAAATGCTGTGTTCTGTTGCAGTGGGATAGAGGGAAGAATTAAAACCTTAGATGAATTTCTTCGTATAAGCCTCAAAAGTTATACTGGTGACTGAGCAAGATTTTCTTCTCAGATTTTCTGTGCTTTAAAGAGCTTGGGCAAGGAACAAAGAATGAACTAATTAGACTCAATGTACAGTTACTGTTACAAAAAATAATGTTCAAAAAGTATCCAGAAATAGCCTGCTTGTGATGAAAAATGCTGATTTCTATGTGTGTGAGTGAATAAACCTGAACAGCCCACGAGATCCGACAGCTGCAGCCACCGGAGCACGGCTGCCTGCTCCTGCCTCCATCCCATTCACAGAGCAGGGCTCAGGGCAGGTCAGGAAGTGCAGGAGGACACGAAGATAAAGTATGCGGAGCCTATTTACAAGTACTTCCCTTTCCTCGCATCCTTATCTAGTTTCAACAACCCTTATCAGCATGAAATTCCCACCGCCCTCAGAGGCCGCAGGCAGGGAGTGAGGCAGAGCGGAAGGGGATGCTGATGGGGAGGGCACTGCTCTCGGGCAGGGGATGCTCTCCAGGAAGGGATGCTCCTGGGGAGGGGAAGTCCTGGTGAACAAGTGGGTGCCAGAATTTAAACTCGAAATGAGAAATTAGCAAATGAATCAAAGGATGCACAGCTCAGTTTTGTCCCGTGGGTAAGCTAGGAAAAGATACACCAGGTTGTCTGGTCAAACCCAGCCAAAAGGAAAGAGCCAAAAAGCTGAGCAAAACCAGAAAAATGAAGCCCTTTCTCAAAACCTCAGTTTTGCAGAACTGCTTATTAGGCATCAGACACTGGCCTGAAAAATAAGACTTTTCTTTTCATAGCAGATCTGTGAGTTGGCAGATGCCTGCCACTGCTGTACCCACGTGGCACCAGGTGCCACTCCAGCAGTTCTCAGTGACTAATTACAGCCTTTGCAATTACTGCAGTACTACTCCGATTATTCAAAACAATTACGTTTTGTTCACGGACTGCTGAAAACTTACTCTGCTTATCACACTGCTGCCACAGCCGAACAACAAAGAGATGGAGGGTGACCCACATTTTTCACTCGAGCAGTCAGATGGCCCTTCAACTAGGAAAGCTCAAGAAACTTCTGTAAGGGAATGCACGGCTTGTAACATCTCCTTCCCATCAGCAGAGCTTGCTCACACAAGCTCAGTGTTCGCTCAGTGCTAGAAGTTCACTAGAAGTTCTCCATGGAAAATGTGCAAGCTACAGGAAGGCGAAGCCTGCAGGACTGAGCGGTGTCTCATGGACAGACCACCCAGCTGCGAGGGCTCTGAAATGTCTGCTCTGATGCATTTCCCAGTCATGAGTATTTTACTGCAATTTAAGGGCTGAAGTAAAAACAACATATTGTCTTAAAACCAAAAGAAACTTATATGTTGGATGAGTCTTGGAAACAGAGCTAACGGAATTCATGAAATTCATGATTTTTTTGAATTCATGCAAAAACCTGAGCAGAGCATGAACAGAGCTCAGCTCAAACTGCATTTTTCTACAGTTCCTACCCTCTGGAGCCAGTCCATGCAGCCCGTAATGTGGGACAACGGCTTAGTCCCAAATCTAACCCTTATGCTAGCTAGTATACACTGGTTGGCTCCAACCTCAAACACAAGCGCGTGTTGGGTAAGGAATCAGCTATGCAGGACAGTCTGTGAAATGCTCCGAGTACAACAGGCAGTTTTGTATAGCACTCACTGAAAGCAAGCCAGACATTCTTCAGGAACGTATACGCAGCTATTCTCAGTTCCCTGGCCCTGCCTGAACCTCCGGTGTGTGCAGAGCGATGAGCCCTGGCGCTGGGACAGCCTGCTGTGCCATGTCTTCATGGCTGTGCCATGTCCCTGCAGCTGTGCCGTGTCCCCGTGGCTGTGCTGTGCCCACATGGCTGCAAGGGGAGTGGGGCATACCAGGCCTGAGCTGCCACAGAGGCTTCTTTTCCATGAACAGCCCCACAGCAATCTCTGGGTGCATGATGCAGCTCTGAGCCATCACCTGGTGATGCCGAGCCCTCCCTGCGTGGCTCCAGGATATGCAGTTCCTGTTACAACCAGGTGCTATTGCTGCTCATCTGGCCTTGTTTCCTCACTCAGCTGAGGAAAGCAGTCCTATAGATTTGCCAGGTAAGGTTTTATTCCTTTAAAGAATAGATTCAAAAAGCCATCTGGAGTATTTTTTTAAAATCAGATCGAACTCCTCCAGCTGTTGTGTGACCTCATCCTTTATTAATTTCTGTAGACTTATATTTACCATTGAGATCAACCCTACAAGTGCATAATTTCCTGATTTCTCTCCAGCTCCTTTATTAAAGATCGGGGTTAGATATCTGCTCCCCTCGAGTCCCCCGATAACCCTTCCTTCTCCCACAGGAGTGGTTAAGGAGCGGATGATGCATCACACATTCCTTTATAGCAACAATAATTGTTCTGCTTCGGCACTGACTGTGGTTACACACTGCAGTTTTTCTGAAATTGTTTTCCTCCTTTCTCTTATTGCTAAGGAAGATATTGGCACCAAAATGTGATTTGAGAGCTCATGTTCTTATATTTTCCCATACCTGTCAGCACAGTGATGGCACCACTGACATCTGTGTAACCGAATCCAGCACTATAAACAGGAAGCAGAAGTGACAGCAGCAATTTCAATAGGGGCTTTTCTTCTGCTGAAGCCATTATTTCAGACAGGGCGTATAAATCACACTGTGTCTGGAGTGCTCAGCTTCAGGTTGACGGCAGTCCTCGGCTGTGCCCTGGCCCTTTCCCTCCTGTCAGTCTGGCTGTTTTCCCCGAGGCACGTTTGGAGCCGACAGTTCTGTTCTGGGGGGAGGAAAATGGGGTGGTGACAGTCATTAAAAAGACAAAAAGATTATTTTTGTGCCTGTCATGGGACATCTGTTCCTACAGAAGCTATTTGTATGCACTCTGCTCCTGGGTATGGTGTCAGTTCTGCTCACCAGGGTCCCCCCTGCCTTGGGCAGAGCCCCCTGTGTCCTCATGGAGGTTCCTCCAAAGCTCCTCCAATCCTCAGTGTGGGATACACAAAACATGAATCAGGGCAAGCGGGCTGCAGCCCTGTCAGCAGGGAAGGCTGCATCAGGAACACAGAGATGGGCTTCAACGTGTCCATGGGCATAAAGTTGGGTGGTTTATAAATATTTGCATCCTATAATTGTCTTCAGGATAGATCAGCTGGGTTAAACCACACTGGGGCCGTTCGTCTGTGAGGAACAGCAGAATTGTTAACAAGTTTCATTTCCACCACTCAAGCAGCTAATGGGCCATCTCAGAGTCTGATCACACTTGTGCTTCCCAATGGCACTTCACCAGGGAGCGCCTCTAATCTGACATGTTCTTTCAGCACTGTCTGTGGGAAATGGCTTTCCAGGCTGTCTGAAGGTTCTGAGATGCATCTCAGTGGTACGAGATGGGACTCTTGAGGGATGGGAAGCAAAGCATGTGGCCCTCACTGGTGGGCTGAGGAAGAGAAAGCAAAGAGCTGAGAACGGTGCGGGTTTGGCTCCTAGTCTGAGAACTTCCTGGGAGCAGGGAAGGCAGTGAATGGGGTTGGGTCAGAGCATCCAAATCTTCATGTTTTTCAAAAAGTTCTTCTCAAGTAGTGAAGCTGCACCTGGATTTGCATTTGATGGTTCATTTTGATTTTAATGAATCAATTCCAAACACTCCCTGGTCTGAGGAGGAGAGCAGGGAAAGTAGCAGCCCACAGAGCTTTCTTGAAGGCACAAGATAGCGACTTAGGATACGATCAAATGTTTAAACTTTCTTCTGTATCTATCCTCTGTTGGCTAGGAGGTACCTTTTCAACATTTGAACCATGTTTCAAAGTATTTCAACACATTACAGAGGACTGCAACAGAAGAAGAGAAGAAGCTTGGGGAAAAAATGAGGGCAACACTTCCCTATAGGTTACATAAACTATGATGCATTTTTGCATTTAGGTGCCAAAGTCAGAGGGATATCAGCCTGAGATCCTGACCCCAGGAAGGGTTGGGTACCAATGGTGGGACTTGGGCTCAGTGCCATTTCAGAACTCCTACTTCAGAATGAATGAATAACCACCAGAACCTATCCAGCTCTGATAGCAGATTTGTTTCTTTCTAATACGTCATAGGAAAAAAAGATGCTTATCCTAAGCAATACTGAAGGCCCTCGCTTCTCAACATGCTGGGGAGCATCATGTTTAGCACCTTTCTATATTTTGAGCACATTTAATCAATATGGGACTTCACAGCTGAGTGCTAAAGCCTGTCCCCAGCGCTCGGTTGCCATTGGCCTCATCTCCAACCCGGAGAGGACTCTGTGCTAAATGCTCCACTCTGACTCCGTACATCTTGGCCCAGGCAGAGAAGACTTGTTGATGTGGTTGTGGAAACACAATGTGAGGTAGGGGATGAAATACCAAGGGAAGATTGGAGGATTTTAATAATGCCTATTTTTATATCTACTGGATGCCAACCATCTGAGCTAATAGAATATAATTGGAAGACTAGATTTAGTCATTTTCTTTATTATTAGGTCTTGATGTACTTCTGTCAACTCCAAAATACTCATTACATGTAATTAGGGAGAAGATTAGAGTGCTGTTAAGATGCAGAATAATGATGCAGCTCAACAAGGGCCGGTGGAAAAAACAACCCACTTAGGAAAATGTCTCAAAAGTGCTGAACAGAAGAGGGCATTTAAAAAAAACAGGGAAGATGAGAGCTGGTGCTAAATAATAAAGACGAGACTTTGAAGCGGGAGAGAGTTGATACGCGGAATCAAAGCATTTGATGACTATTCCTCCCTCTAAAATGAATCCCTTGTGTTTATTTGGATGGTTGAAGTAACATCAGTGAGATAATTCCCAAAGAACCACCCTCTGTGTCTTTTTCATAAACTCCCACCCTAAATGGCATAATTAATTTCACAGTTGTATAGAGGAATAATAAAAAAAATCCATCCTTCGGGAAATAGGTGGTAATTTCTATCTGATAGAAATTGTGATTAGACACAGCATATAAAACTTTCTGATAATTTATTCGCCAGAAATTGCCATATTATACCTATCAGGGGGCTGGTGATATGAAACTTAACAAGCTGATATTTCACTCTGATTTCCTTGAGCGTGGTCCAATTTATTAAATCAAAATTGTAGATTAGCTTTAATATGAAAAAAGATTTTTGTATTTCAGAGTAATGTATGTCAGAACTCAAGGAAGAGATAATGGCACAGCTAATAGAAATTAAGCTGTAAGTAGAGCTGAAAGGCAGATAAAGAAGCAAGGGGAGATTTCTGAAATTTTTGAAAGTTTCTGTGAAACTGTGGATAAAAGACAAGGAGACCAAGCCTGCATCTGCAGCACCGCATCACACAGCGCATCACAGGGTGCTGCCAGCATGGAGATCTATTTCTAGTTCCCTCATCAGCTCCCCATATGACAGTAGAAGAATTATTTCAGAACTGCATCCCTTTTCCAACCGATGCACCTTGAATAGCAGAAGAGCTGCTTAAAGCCAGATGCAGGATCCCTGCCAAACACGGCCCATCCCATTGCAGCACAGCAGCCCCAGAACCACTGCAGGTGACGCCCCCAGCACACTGCTAGCAGAGCCTGCATATGTTTTTTTGTTTGGTCGCTTTTGTTTTTGGTCACCTGGGGCTATTTTGGGAGGTCTGTGTATTTGCTTATCCCTCAGCAGAACGCAACTGGTAAGGAGAACTGGGGCCAGAGGGGGCCAGGAATGGTGTGACAACCACTGGGGACCCCAGGCGCCCTTTGCTTTCCTTCTCCAAATGCGCAGAGCAGTGGGCACCATCTGGCTTGCCTGCCTGCAGCTGGAGAGGGAAAAGCACGTGGGCTCTGCAGCAGCGCAGGAGGAAGCAGAGTGTGATGGCATTGATGATGATCACCACATGAAGGAAGTGGGGCTGGGGATGAACCAAAGTGCTTCCAATTAACCCCAGAATGGGCCCAGTGGGGCAGTGGTTGCCTCGGGATGGAGCAACAATCCAATGCCCCCAGTCCATAGTGCAGAGCACAGCCTGGCACGGCATGGCATGGCACAGGGACTGGGCAGGGACTCGGCTGGATTCTGCTGCAGCGCAATCAATCCCTGTTGTTTATAAGTATCTGTGACTCACAGACATTTTCCCCACTCCTTAATTGCCAGTTTCCTGAGAAACCATTTCAGTCAGCCAATAGGATGCAGAATTATGACTTAGCGACTGGATACAATTGGGAAAAATAAATACGGCATTATTGGTAAATTGAACAGCACTTTTCTAAGTACATCACGTATTTATAAACAACACACAGATCTGCAGGCGCTGAGGAACCCCTTGGTCTCACTGAAGAAGGACTGGGATGGGAGGACAATGATGGGGAAAAGCCAAAGGGGACCTGGCTGCACGAGGGCTACCCAGCACCCCAGCCTGGCCACCGACTGTCCGGATTTGGGTCCCATCTGCAAAATGGGACCAACAGGGTAGGATTCTGCCAGAACAGCTGATCTGGACTCAGGTTTCAGCACTGATCCCCATCTTTCCCAGGGCTCTGCTCTGCCCATCCCTCTCAGTGCCTCTCCTGCCCTACGTACCCGGGCATGGGGTGGTGCTGCAGAAACCTCCCTTGCTTTTCTCCATCCCGGTTTGAGCCTTGAGTATCCCAAGGCATTCTGGCTTTCTAAGTGCCCTTGTGGGCTGGTGCTGTGATTTTGATAAACAAATTAAAATCTTTGGAGAAGCTGCTATATTGTGTTATTATTTTTATTACTCTGTATTGCTGTAAAAGTGATGAACGAGGTCTAAATAATAGAGATAAGACAATCTTCATCTCCAGTATTAGTCACCGCTCAATTACAGCTTCATTCAAAGCCATTAATTGGTAGTAAGAAATAAACCTGTGAAGCACAGCACGCTGTCTCCTTTATTCTCTTAATACATGATTGTGTTTAGGAAGCCTGAAAGTCTTTATTAGCAATCACTTAGTAAAACCACTCTAATAGTTGTTAAAAGGCTAGGAAACACAATGCCAGTTAATTTGGGGTGATATTGTAGGGAACTAGGGGAAGGAATATAAAAAGTATGATGGCATAAAAGAGAACAGTAAGTTGGACTGAAGCAAACCGCCTCAAGAGCGTTTTGCATCCTTCCATTTACTCCAGCATAGAAATCTTGTATCGTCCCGTGCTGAAGAAAAGGTCAGGAAGCAGCCTGGTGAAGTGCTGTGCAGACAGGCACAAACTACAGATGGATGTACGGGTTCAAATTTTTCAAACCCAGAAAGTAAATCAAGATGAAAACAGTCCCACAGCATCAGAGAACCTCAGACTTATGAAAACCAGAAAATCACAAGCTGAGACATTTCTTGCTCAAAGCCCTGCAAACCATGAGACATGTTTCATATTGCAGGCAGCGAGCGGCAGCCCGGCTCCCAGCGCCCGCGCTCAGAACCAGACCCAAGGACAGAAATGGGGCACGGAGAGCAGCAGTGGGCACAGAGTCAGGGAACGTCCCGCATCCACACCTCGTCCTGCAGGAGAGCCAGGGAATCCCTGCCAAAAGCTAGACAGCTTCAGGAGCCAGCGCTGGCGTGATAAGGAGTGGAGCGGACAGTGCGGCATTCCCAGGATAACTGCAGAGCCTCCGTTCTTTCCACAGCTGACGAACGCATGCAGTACGTGCACGGCGAGTCCCGGCCGCGCCGCTCTGACCGCGCTGTGCCAACCATGGGGCTGGCAGCAGTGCCAGGCAGAGCAGTGCTGGGCACCCGATCTGCGGCCGTGGGCAACCCTGCACCGCCAGCTCACGGGATGCC